CCCCAAAACCCCAAAACCCCAAAACCCCAAAACCCCAAAATATTTCTAAATTATTGAATTATAATATCCGTAAATCTACGAAGAAAATGTTGGGGAAATGCCTTGTCCGTCAAACATTCCGGTCCTGGTCTGGATATAGCCATTTAAGACGCAGATTCTGTACAGATAATACGTAATTTTACTAATCCATCATTTTAGACGAATGGTCATACCAATGAACTGCCTTGTACTTCATCCAGTGATGAGGCCTAACAAGGGCCCAGAGCTGGAACTCAACTTTGCGGAAGAAGCTATTGGCTTAGCCAAATCCTTAGGCTGGAACGTCGTTCCAGGCCCTGGCTGGAAACAAGAATACACTGATAAAATCCAAGAAGAATATGGCTCTGAAGAAGAGCAACTTTCAGAAGAGACTTATGGAAGCGATTATGACTCTGATGGTTATGTCAAGCCAGAAAGAGCCAACAAAGTCTTTAAGAATGGAGACTATGTCTACACAGCCACAGCCCAGGGCGTTTTCTGGGAAGATGGTATTATTACTGATCCTCATGAAGAGGAATTTGATCTCTATGATGAATGGAAAAACAAGCTAGTTAGAGATTCTATGGCCAAGAGTATTCTAATCAATGTGAAGAAAGTGTCTTCTTCTCTTTTCTTCACTAGAGGTAAACTTAATGATCTTGGGCAGTATATCAAGAGCCAAGATGTAGAGGTCGTCTACGTCAACACAATGTTAACACCAATCCAGCAGAAGAAATTGGAAAAGAGATTTAATGATTTCTTACAAGACCGAGAGGAAAGACTTCGCAGGTACTATATTCGTTCAGCTAATAAAAGCGTGAATGAGCCTACCGATATCGACTCTGACTCTGGTTATGTAACTGGCGAACCTGAAAGAGTTAATGAAAATGAGACGATTCGAGTCATCGACCGCTTTGGAATAATCCTAATGATATTCGCCAACAGAGCTAGGTCAAACATATCCAAACTCCAGATCGAACTTGCATGGCTGGATTATGCTAGATTGAACCTCTCAAGAGGATCGGGCCCAACATTTGGAAGAATAGGCCATCTTTTCAAAGAAGACCTCTCTTTGAATGAATCCACCGAGGTTGAAATTAAGAGTTATAGAGGAAGAGGGCATTCAGGAACAGGGGCCGTTCAAGGTGGAGGTGAGAAACAAATTGAGTTAGAAAGACGTAAAATAAATGACAGAAAAGCTGAAATCAAGCGTAAGATAGCAAAAGCCTTCCAAGGTAGAACTGATAGCAGAATGTCTAGACAAAAACGGACCAAGAACATCCCCCTGATCGCCCTTGTAGGGTACACAAATGTTGGTAAAACAACACTGATGAACAGGATGACATCAGAGAGTCTTGGGGTTGAAGACCAGTTGTTCCATACACTAACCACAACTGTGAGAAAATGATACTTGACTGGAAATCAGAAGGCTGATCTTATTGACACAATTGGGTTTATCTCCCATCTGCCACATACACTGGTAGATAGTTTTAAATCCACGCTTGAAGAGATCCTCTATGCTGATATTCTGATCCATGTGCGGGACATTTCCCATCCAAGTACGGACTTCCAGAAAGAGACTGTGCTCAGGATCCTTGAAGAAATCGGCACAAGCCCAAAGCTAATGAATGAAGGTTATATTGAAGTCTGGAATAAGCTTGACTTGTTATCAGATGAGCAGATTGAGAATGAGATTTTCCCTAAATTAGAAAACACTGAATACCCTATTATCCCTATGAGTGCTCTTAATGACCCGAATAGGGATGAATTGATAGGAAACCTCACTGAAAAGATAAACCAGATCTATGGTTTAAGGAAGTACCAGCTTGAGTATCACTTTAGTGAACATGACAAGCGGAGAGAGTGGCTGCTCAAATACGCAAATGTGCCTGACTTGCATAATTTTGAATACAAGGGTGACAATATCTGTGTCACTGTCCATATCGATGATGTCGTATACCAACAGTACATGAAGACCTTTGAGAGGCAGAAATTCGACCAGATGAGGCAAGGGCAGAGTAAGCTCAAAGCACCAGAGGGGTGGTAGTTAAGTAAAGCAGGTTTAAAGTCAATTTTGGGATAGATTTGGGGTTTTGGGGTTTTGGGGTTTTGGGGTTTTGGGG